AGCCAAAACCAAAACCGGGGGACGGTTTGCATCATCCCCGGCCTGCAGCGCCGCTCTTATGTAAGAGTTTCACAACGTTTCTGAGCAGAGCTGAGACACAAACGGCTTCTTTTTTTCTTTTTTTTTTCCAGAGCAGCTGGGAGGAGATGTTTGGGGTTTGGGGTTTGGGTTCCAGACGGGGGCAGAGCTCCGTTATCTTTGGGCCGCAGGCCTTCAGGTTCCCAGCGGACAGCAGCTCCGGTCTCAGACCTCTGGGCTCTGATTGGTCAGCTCCTACGGCCCGAAAGGGCCTCGCCTTCCCCCCACCCCGGCGCTTTCTGATAATGAACGCTTTTTATTCAATATAGTCTAATAAATCTGACTTTTAGAGGGAAAAAAATAGTCTTTCTCCGGAAAACTCTGATACATTTGCCCAAATATATTTATCATAGAAGCCGTTTAGCTTCGAATTTGAGTCCAAAAGGTAGTTAGAGCTCAGATCCAAGGCAGTCTCACACAGCCTATAAATGCAGACACATTTTAAGAGTTTTTTGCGTTCTTTTTGTTTAGCCCCTTAAAAAAAAACAGGATAGTCATCCTTTATAAGGGTGTAATAAGTCAAAATGACTGTGGTGTGGTCTTCTGAGTGCTGTTATATCTGTGGGTTTATCTGTGCACAAAAAGGTTTTGAGCAAAGTTTTGAGTATTAAATGATGCCAAAGGTCTCATAAGTGAAACATTTCAGAATCTTTGTGTACCGGATGTGATACGTATGGCGTTACGGGGGTAAATAAGCAAACGTGAGGCCCGTTTTTAGGGGTTAAGTCGTGACCTGTCAGCAGGACGGGGGTTCCTCCTCTGTGTGTGTGTGCGTGTGTGTGTGTGTGTGTGTGTGTGTGTGTGTGTGTGTGTATGGGGAGGGTACGGTTCTCCAGCTGGAGGCCCGGCGCCTTTGTATCACCGACCCGGTACCCAAAGGCCTCGTTTCCAGACAGAAAAGGGAGTCGGCCTTACTGGGGGTGGGGGGGGGCTTATCGGCCGGGCCAGAAACGGTGTGCCCCCTGGTTGCCCCCCCCCACCCACCCCTCTCCCCCCACACCTCTCCCACCCCCCCCCTTCAGGGCCCAGATGAGGCTCAGAGTAAACACTTTGTTGATGGATCATCAAGTGTTTTTGTGGGTTTCACTGGGCACAGAAGATGCTTTTAGGGGTTAAACGCGACGCGTTCAGGGCTCATTATTTTGTCTGAGTCCAAGTGGGCCTCCTTAAAGGATCAATTATGATGAGAGATTAATGACAAAAGCAAAAAAAATGACATTCTGGAGTCTTTTCATGGTTTATCAGAAGACATATATATAGTGGTGCGACTCATATAATATAATAAATAGGACAAAAATTCTCCTTTTTTGTCTGGCAGGGCTCTGATGTCTTGACAGAAGCAAGAAGAAGAACAAATGGAGATTTTATGTGAATAAACAGTTATAAGCTGTTGATTTTAAGTTTGGGAAAGTTCACTGAGTTACTCACAGAGGAAAAAAGAATTAGATGTTATATTTTTCTATTGGTGTCCAGTGAGTGTATGAATTCCACGCATATTTATTTAAGATCTGAACATATTTAGTCATTATCTAACCCTCATTTAGTATCGGATAGATAATAAATAATAAACATTATGTTAAGTGATTCACTTTGGTAAAAAAACTCTTTCTTGGAGATGAGCTCCGGGGTTTAAAAACCAAAACCGCTGCACCTGAACTCTGATCGGTTTCCAAAGCACAACCCTGATGTTTCATTCAGTAAAACACTTTAGTTTCACACCCCGGTGGGGGTTTTTTTTTCCTCAGCTGCTGAGAGCAGAGAGGGCGGCACATCTGCCTTTACAGCGGCTCAAGTGGTGCAACTTCCCGTTTCTGAGCTGCAGTGAAGGCAGCGCGGCCCTCTGACCTCAGGCTGCAGACCCCCCCCCCCCCCCCCCGTTACTGAAGAGGGTATTAAAATTTCTCCGTCCACCTGATGTCTCCTCAGACGACCAGAAGAAGCTCTCAGCAGAAAAATGGGATTTATTCATAATTTTGTTTTCATTTCTGTTCAAAATTAGGAACAAAAACAGTCAGTTTTTCCCCTCCGGGTTTCTAATTAGATGGACTCGCTACCTTTATCCACTTAGAGATTCCTAATTGTTTTGGAGGTTCTTAAACATCCAGGTTTCGACCAACTCAAAGCCAGAAATACCTCTGAAATAAAAAAAAGATAAGCGTTTTCTTCTGTTTGTTCGGTGGTTTAGGGAGGAAACTGAATCCGGTCCAGAGGAGAGCATTTTATTCAGAGTAAAAAAAAAACAAACAAACATCAGGAACGTCGCTCCTTTTGAATCTCAAAAGCTGAAAAACAACAAATCTGCATTGACAGCGTTGAATTTATACAAAAAGAAAGAAAAAAACAAATCAAATTATATACAGGTTTGGGCTTTTTGGCTCATGTTAGAACATTCACAGATCTCAGAGTTCCTGCTGCTTCACTTTGGGCTTTTCTGAGCACATTTTACTGGAGCTTTACCCATTTCCAGTCCGCTTTTCCCAAATAGTTTCAACCTTCCTGGACAATTTTTAAAATCTGAAGAATTTTCTTCTGCTTGATTATTCTCTTCATACCACGGCTGATTGTTTATCGGCTAAAAACGGAGGAACCTAGACGTCTGCGGACAGAGTTCCCCAGAAACGAGAGCATGCAGAGGCTTTGAGGATGTGATGGGCTCGCCGCCATGGTGTCACAAAAAAGGCTGAAAACAACCAGAGGGAAGCAAAGCCTTTTGATCCGGAGCCCCTCTGGAAGCCAGAGCTCCGATTGAAAAAAAGACCGACCCAAGAAATAGCAATAAGTTAGTCCAAGTTCATTTTGTGGAGGAGCAAAAAGCAGAAGAAGATCAATTAGGGGACCTTCATGATGGGAGGACAACGCGGGATTCTTTAACAAAATGTCTGAATCTGAATGTCCAGTGGAGCCAGAGGACTTCGGGACTCTTTGGGTGCAAATGAATGAGGTACGGGGGGGGGAAGGACTGTGACTCTGAAGGCCTTCCTGCATCGGGGCGTTAATAGTGTGTCAAAATGGGGGAAATGAGGTCAGAATCAGCAGCTACTTCTGGGATTAGCTTGTCAGAATTCAATCATTTCTTCATCTTTAACTTTCGTGCTACGTCTCCGGAACGCTTCCGACTTAATAGACGAGGTCGGGAAAGAATGAGAACCGCTCCCGAACGACCTCCGGATTGAGGAAAAACTACAAAAAAGATGGACGCCAGCGGGGGCACAAATGCCTGCTTTTGGATATGTGGAGATTTGGATATGTGGAGATTTGGATATGTGGTCAGCAGCTTTGAAATGAGTCCAAACATCGTACATGAATAAAGGCTAAACATGCATTAGGTTCCCCCCCCACCTCCCACCCCCCACTCCCCCACTCCGTGCAGGGTGAACTACACATGTGACGTGTTTGACGTCTCAAACAACTTCGAGAAAAAGTGGAATCTCCCTTTAGACGCCATCTGCCCAGAATCCGATGAAGGAATCTGCTGGGTGAGAGCCTCTTTGCGTTAGGCCCGTGCAGCCCTCTTTTTTTATCCAGAAACCGTAGCAGACCCTCAAACGGCCGGCGGGGCCCACCCTCCAGGCCCCTGTTGGGCCCCTGTTGGCCCCCCTTTTGGCCTCCTGTTGGGCCCCTTGTTGGGCCCCTTTGGGCCGGTTCAGACTGGACCTTAGGGGCGTTGTGGGGGTCCCAGGCGGCGTCCGCTGGACGGGATGCCTCCTCTTCATCAGCCCGTCACAGACTGGAGCCCTCGGAGGGCCGGGGGGGCCCGTTCACCTGGAGGAGGAGGAGGAAGAGGAGGAAGAGCAGACCGTCAGCCGGAGCCAGACGTATAGAACCTTGTCTTTATTTCTTTTTTTGTTGTTTTAACTCTGCTTGTTTGGCCGTCGGGCCCTGAAACTTTGTCGTCCTTTTTCATCCGTTTGAAAAGAAACACAGGAAAAAGGACACGGACTCCACTCACATGTCAGGTTTGTGTTAAAAAATTAGAAATAAAGTGAATTCAGACAGTTTTACAGCACTTTTCTTCAAAAGAGCTGTATAATAGGCTGTTTTTTTCTCCAGAATACACAACTTCTGCACAACAAACGCACCACACGTTCTGTTCAGACGTTCTGTTCCTTCGTAATTCTGAAAACGATCTCGTATTCAATCAAATTAAAAAACCGCCAACGCGACTCCCGTTCCGAATCAAGTCAGCCTGTAGTCCCCGCTACCACCGGAGCTCCCATTCCCTCCCAAAAACATATTTAGATTTACATATTTGTGCAGGAAAAAAAAGCCTCCTGGGCTCCAGCTGTGGAAATGTTTGCTGGACAAACACGATCCAAACACAAAGATCTAGTTTGATACCAACAGACTCGCACCCGGGTCTGGATTAATGATCCATAAATAAATAAACGCATATTTCAGGGTCCCACCGGTTCTCTGTCGGATGATAATTGGGCCAAACGTTTGTTGTAGTTTTCACAATCAGTGATGACCCATCCAGTTCTGGCCCAACTCTCTTATATAAAAGCATTTATTTTATTTCTATGTGTAATTATCTACAGTATTTATTAAGGAGTTATCGTAGGTTTTTGGGCTGTGGTATAAATCATACGAATTACGGTGTATTCTGATGGGAATATTATGGGAACCAGCATATGAATATTTCAACATATGAAGTAGATCCTGGAACTAATTAAATCCGTATTTAGAGGTTTTCTATTGTATTCATGTTCCGTGGGAAATAAATCAGATTGTTTTAGGGAGGACTCTCTCAAAATGAGTCGGCTCCAGTCCCCAGAAGGCTGCCAGCATCTGTCCCGCCCAAATAAGATGCGTCTTCTGTTAATCGGCATCTCTTGAAAGGCAAATTTGGGATGCTTTTAGGACTCCAAACCACTTGGAAACTCCTGTCTGCTTGTTTGTGTGAAGCTTCAAAAGCTGTTTGGTTGTTAGGAAACACGGCCGGCCAAAGAGAAGCAGGCATCAGCTCCAACCGGGGGGGGGGGG